GCTGGGAAGCCAGCCACTGGCACCTGATGGTTTCTGCGGGAGGGAGAGTCGATTTAAGACCTCTGGTAAGTCCTCCAGGCACCACGGATGGGTTCACATCCCTGAGTATATAGGACACAAACTAGAGAGCAGGTTATGTGAAGCTGGGAGAGATGAGGGCACAGATCTGGAAGGAGTTACACTGGGTGCATGGATAAAATCCTCAAAAAGTTAATAAAATATCATAATTTCTAAGAAGGTTGCACAGGCCTGGCTGCAGACGGCAAGCTCTAATGTGCTCCTGGGCTACACCCCTTCCAGGGCTGCAGTTGAGCCAGCTGGGATGCACAGCCCTCCCTCCCTTACGCATCACACTCAGACAAGCGATGATTCTGCAGCGTTCCCTCATCACTAAAGTCTTAGAAACGTGGCACTCTTTCAGATGCTGACCAGTTGTTATCTGAACAGTAGACTGAAGGATGGTTGGGTCCTGAGGGCTTGTGACCTTCTGCAGGTAGCTGGCTACTGCTGCTTCTCCGTGGGCGACAGTGATGATCATGTAGGTGACAATGAATGAATGACCACCTGTAAGCAGCGTTTTCTTACACCTTTGACTCAGGAGTCTGACCTCTGGTGAAATGCTAGGAGAAGCTGAAATGGAGACTTAAGTCATCCTGGCTCTGAAGAGCTGTGGTTTCCACACCTGTAGCCCGGGGAAGGTTTTGTGGCTGCTGTGCTCAGCTTGGCCAGACTGTGGCACTGAAAACAGGAAATGTTAGCTGTTGCTGTCACTACTGTTTGTAAGGCAGACTCAGTTCTGAGGGGGACAGGAGAAGGGAGAGGAACTGTCATTCAGGGCCATCTGGTTCTCTGAGGACAATCATAGCTAATTAATTAAAACGGGGACACTCAGGAGGTGTGCAAGCGTCGGAAGAGAGCCCTGAGTGAGGGCGTAATCAAGTGCCTTTTATCTGCAGCCATGGGAGGACTTTCTGCCACTCATGAGACCATGGAATGTGCCCCACCTGGAGATGCTGGTGAGCTTGGAGGCTCGCTGTGACCAGGCTCTCCTCTTCACTCTGGGAGCCAGTTGGCCTAGGCTTGCAGGTTCTGCTCTCAGTAGTCTCAGAATACTGGGTTTCACTATTTGTGATGCCTGCCTGTGCAAGCTGTTGGTGAGACCTGCTAGTGCAAGCTGTTGGTGATGCCTGTCAGTGCAAGCTGTTGGTGATGCCTTCTAGAGCAAGCTGTTTGTAATACCTGCTAGTGCAAGCTGTTTGTGATGTCTGTTAGTGCAAAGCGTTGGTGATACCTGCTAGTGCAAACTGTTGGTGATGCCTGCTAGTGCAAGATGTTGGTGATGCCTGCTAGTGCAAACTGTTGGTGATACCTGCCAGTGCAAGCTGTTGTTAATGCCTGCCTGTGCAAACTGTTGGTGATGCCTGCTAGTGCAAACTGTTGGTGATGCCTGCTAGTGCAAGCTGTTGGTGATGTCTGCTAGTGCAAGCCGTTGGTGATGCCTGCTAGTGCAAGCTGTTGGTGATGTCTGCTAGTGCAAGCCGTTGGTGATGCCTGCTAGTGCAAACTATTGGTGATGCCTGCTAGTGCAAGCTCTGTGCTGGCACTGCAGCTTCCTTTGGTTTCAAGCAAAACTCGGAAAGCTATCCAACGCTAACATTCCCAACTGTGGGACTGCGACTTGTGTTCTCATGGCTCTGTGCATGACAGAGGAGGCAAACGCTGCTCTAAAAGCTTTTAACGTTTGCACTGGATTATGTCAAAGGCCCAGAAATTGTTCATCCAACTGTAGAGAACTAAGCATTAGCCAAAATCTCTCTTGCTGAGAGTGAAGGATCACACCTGTAACCCCAACATTCAGGAGGCTGATGCAAGAGGATTGTCTCGAGGCCCAGTATTATCTAAAAAAAAGTCCCTGTTTAGAATCCCTTGATTTAGCCATAAACAGGTAAGAAGCTTATGTCTCTTCCTACACAGACTATAGCATATAAGAAACAAATGTATTCATTTAATTCAGTCATTCACAGTGCAACGTGAAGGTCGCTTTGGAAACACAAATGCACATTCAGTACAGGAAAAGCCTCGTGAAGTTCCTGAATTCTCCACACACAGAACAAACCTGAGCTTTGACTTCGTAGACATTATTAACCAGATACTTTTGAATGTTACACGTTAAACTCTTGAAGCTTGAGACGCTTCTGCAGACACTGGAAGGGTGTTTCCTCAATCAGAAAGTTAAGTGAGCACGGAGCACTTTCCTCTAGGAAAGGGATAAACAAGCCTTTTCTAACTGCAGCTTAAGGGCACAGGCCCTAAAAATTTGAAATGCAAACAGAGGAACAGCGCCACTAGCGGGTAAGAGTCCTTTTAGGTGATTATGGGCAAACAGCCGTCCTGCTTCCTCAGATCAGATAATCGGGTGTTTGGGTGGGTCCAAAGCAGGTTACCTGTAACTATGAGAATAGTTGGCATCTACACATGTGGGACCAGCAGCCCTCGGCCACGGCTCTGCAAAGGAACCAAGACGTCACAGTCCTCAGGTTACCAGAGATGCTACTGTCCCGTCATACCCAGGCCCTTAAAACTTTAATGGCTATTCATCTCTTCAATTCTTTCATTGCCTTTGAATATTTCATGTGTACCACATTGCCACCCCCTTCTGGAGGACTGTGTGTTGAAACCAGGGGATAGGACATACAGAGAGAGTAAATGGCTATTTTAAAAAGCACCAAGTCTTGGCCACCACTTCAGAAGTACCCACGTCTCATCAGATAATACGAGGCAGCCTGCTAGGTGGAAGGAACAGGGTGTGATTGCTTATCACACAAACTAAGGAAGAAAATGCGGCTAACTTTGTTTTCGGTGAGAAACCCTCTCATCTGCAATGCCGTTCAGTTTCTCTGTAAAGAAATAGAACATGCACACAGAGCCCTGGAAGTGGACGGACACTGAGGGGGCTGCTACTGTGTGCGGCATTAAAGCAAAAACTATCAAGACATTTCTGTTTACAAATTGCACTTCCTCATTCAAAATCATTATTTCCCTGAACGTCAGAACGCAGACTGGAGCTTAAATACCCCCTCAGTCCATAATGCCACAGACTTGACTCTATGAAGCAAATTTCATTCCTCTTCTCTGACCTTCCAAGTCATCTTCCCTGAGGAGAGGCAATTGAGAAACAAATGACCCCGGCATTTCTGGGGACCATCCTCCCATCGTATTCAAAGCCTCAGTGGGAACCAGAGCTAGCCCTCATCTCCCAGTGGCAGGCGCTCAATCTCACACACACTGTATTCCGGCCAGTGTCTCATGGTGTGGGGAAGGAAGCAGGCAGTCACAGCACTGGCCTGCTCTGCTATAGCGCCTGCTCTGGCGTCCTCACGCCCAGCCTGCTCCGGGGTCCTGTGATCCCTGGAAAAGGTGGACTGTCAGGATGGCTCAGGATGCAGTGACCTTTTCGCTGGCCTTGGGATGCCTTTCTTTTTCTTTTCTCATTCTTTCCTAAACCCCAGGCATTCCGCCTTGGGGGAAATGGGTAGAATAAGCCCCATTTGATTAGCGTGTTTGATTAGTGTGTGTACCCGCAGAGAAAACGGCGGCGACAGGCACTGAGGAAGAAATGATTGACTCTGAGAAGCTGGCTGTACAAAGACCATGCGGAGTTCATTGGGGGCCTTTTAAAGGAAACGAGAATTCTCTGTACATGCTGAAGATATCCAAGCCAGATAGAAATGTGATTTGACAAAACAATGTTAGGAAATGCCCACCATGGATCTGAGTGTGGCCAAGAACACAGAACATAAGAAAACAGACCCAGCAAGTCCTTCCCCGCAGTTGGGTGGGAGGCTGATTTTGGAAAAGCCATTCATCTCTGTAAGTTTAGGGGTTGTTTCTCTGTAAAGTGGCCCCATGATGCAATAGGTGAGAGGCTCAGATCTGCTTAGCATTCCTTTCTGAGCTTGGTTGAATCTTTAGCTTTCACACCCATGGAGGGGGTAGAGGGGGGCACAAGTAAACAAAGAGAAGAGACAAGATCTGAAAGAGACAAGGGCCCAGCATATACTCAGAGGTGTTCCTCCAAGGGGCAAGTACCGGGCTGAGATGGGGGCTAGGTAGGGCAGCTTTTCTTGGATGGAATCTGACCTGATCTAACACTAGGAAAGCCCACACTTCTGCATGAAGAGAGGCTTCCCAGAGAACTTTCACCTTTACAAGGGTGGGCTGCTGGGAGGGAGGGAGTAGGGGAGAGGTCTTAGCAGTAGGCAGCTGGCTTGGTCTGAAGAGAGTCCACCTGAGAGGTTTGAAGAAGAAATGTGTGTGTGTGTGCTCACGTACATGTGTGAGAGTGGATGTGTACGTGTGCTTTTATGTGTGTGCACCTGTGTGTGTGTGTGTATGTGTGTGTGTGTGCGCGCGCGCCCGCATGCGCGCGCATGTGTGCCTATGTGTGATGCGCTGGGCTGGACGCTTAGATCTTAGGCTTCAGGAAAAGTTAGCACCTTTGTGGTAATCACGCTGACCAGAGACTTAGATAGCAAAGAGGAGGAAAACTGGAGAAGGGCAGGAGAGTATGGGGAACTCAGGAGGGTGGAAAACAGGAAAGGGATTTGTGGAAATGGAAGAGGGGAGGGAAGAAGGACCATCAGAGGGGAGAGAGGAAGAGGGAGTGAAGTGTAGCCAGGGGAAGAAGTAGAGAAAAGGAGAGAGGATCCTGCGGCAAGACCGTGAACAGAAAATGGAAAGCAAGAAAGAGAACCGACAAGCCAGAGGGACCAGCCCCGGAGATCAGGGGCCTGGGCTGCAGAAACGGGCAGGAAGAAATAAAACCCTTAGGGAAAAGAAGCAGAGGCGATGGGACCTAGTGTCCCCAGGCAGACTTGGTCAGAATGAGATGGACCGGCTCTCACTTGTCCCCGGAGGGGTCAGACATTGCTTCCCATCTCCGGCCTAGCCTCGAACCCCCATCCCATCCCAACCCTTGGCTCCTGGCTCTGCAACCTTACCTGGCCCTTGACCAGGCTGGCAGCGAATTGGCGCATGACGGCCTCCACGGTGTAGGCGCTGGACCAGCCGCGCGGCGTGAGCAGCTCCATGCAGATGGCGCCGCCGTCCAGCACGTAGCCGTTCTCCAGTCGCGGGCTGAGCACCCGCATGAAGGGCGGCGAGAAGGGGAAGTTATCCGGGAAGGTGAGGTTCAGCAGGATGAACTCGGTGTTGGTCTCCTTCATGTCCTGCCACAGCACCGAGTCCTTGTCCACCTGGTGCAGCTTCACGTTCCAATCGAAGAGGCTCTCGTTCACCAGCTCCACCGAGATGA